TAATCCTCAGACTGAAGCTACAACAGACTAAAGCGTTAACCTTGGTAAAAGTCTATAAGCCCAATCTGGAGGGAAAATATGATACTTCCTTGAGGAAGTGCAGTGCTGAATACAGAGCCCCTTACACTCATGGGCAATTGTAATGCGCATGTCGTAGTAGAAGCTGATAAGTGGAAGGAAACTGGAAAAAATGGCCCAAGCGACCACAACAATAACGGCATGAAGTTGCTGCGGTTTTGAGCCTTGGTCCATTATGAACAACTTCTTCGAACATCAAAGAGTGCATCAGTATACAAGGTAACGGGAAGCTTGTGCACAGAAGTCGATGATCGATTTGATAATCGCAGAGCGGTGACAGCCGAAAGTTCGGTGAGGTGGTGGAATCGAATTTCCACACGGAATTAGGATTCCGGCAGACCATTCGCTGCCTCTGAGGTGAAAAGAATGGCAGTCTTAGAATCTTGAAGGATAAATCTGGAAATCCTGTTATAAAGGATGAAGACATTCTTCGGCGATGGAGAGAGTACTTTGAGGAACTTCTTAACCCCGAGCAACTGCAGGAAGACTCGCCTGTAGAGCAGCAGGTAACGAATATTACTCTCTCTAGATGAAATTATAGAATCCGTGAATGGCTTCAAGAATATAAAGGCTGTTGGAACTAATGAAATCCGCCTTGAAATGCTCAAGGCATTCGGCGAACAAGGCACGTGCTGGATTACACGCGTCTGTCAAACTGCGATGAGTACGGGAAACACAGCAGCGGATTGGAGAATGGGAGTTGTTGTACCATTATTCAAGAAGCGAGACCAAAATGAGTGCTGCAATTATACGGTATTACGTTACTGAGCCTCCCAGGTAAAGTCTACCCAATGGTGCTAGAAAGGAGGTGCCGCGGAATAGATGATTCAAAGATACTAGAACAGAGTGGCTTCCGGCCCGGTCAAAGCACCTCTGACCACATATACGCCCTGCACCAGACTGAGAAAATCGTAGGAGTACGCCCGTCCGGTACATATATTTTGCTGACCTAGAAAAAGCGTATGACCGGTTTCCACGCAACAGTCTGTGGTCACGCCTTCGAGCATACGGGATATATAGCCAGCTGCTAAGGGCCATCCAATCACTGTAATCTGATAGCAGGTGCAGCGTCAGAGTAAATGGCATTAAGCAGAAAACTTTCAACGCTAGCAGCAGTCTCTGCCAAAGCTGCGTCCTGTCCCATATCGTCTTTGTGTTGCACATAGACAGAATAGTCAGGAGCAGCCAAGACGATGAGTTTATCGATGTAGGAGGTGTGAAGTCGAGAAGGTTGCTGTTTGCAGACGACCTTGCTTTATTACGATCTTCTGAAACTGATCTTCAGTGCCCCCTAGAAAGGTTCGCAGCCGAGTGCGACGTGTCCGGCATGCGTGTGAACGCATCTAAAACGAAAAGCCTACTGCTTTTTCGTTCTCCTTCCCGTTGCTCTCTTCAAATTAACCGAGAGGCAGTGGAGCAGGTGGAGAAGTTCAAGTACCTCGGAATTGTATTTACTAGTGATGGAAAATTGGAGGACGAGATCGACCGGCGAACTGGAATTACCAGTGGCGTTCTGCCTGACCTAGCCCGACCCATTGTGACTAAAGCAGAGCTCAGTCTGAAAACTAAGCTCTCAATATTCAAGGCGATCTTTATCCCCATACTTACCTACGGTCATGAATCGTG